AGCAGTAGCGCGGCTTGGCGGAACCACGCTGCTACTAAAGTCGACAGACAGTTCCCGCCAACCTAGATTTAGCAGTAGCGCGGTCTATATAAGCACGATGTTGATAAAGTAATAGCAATAGCGCGCTTTCTCATGGACGCACTACTGCTAGTTGTCGTTTTTTTTAACTGGCCACATGGCGGGACCCACTTAGCAGTAGCACGTGTGTCATATGCGCGCTACTGCTACGTTTTTAGCAGTAGCGCGGATTCTGACCAGCGCTACTGCTAAGCCGCAGCATATGCCACCTTTTTCCCTCCCCCTGCCCATCCTCTCTTCCTCACTTTCCCCTACCTCCCACCTTTCCTCTCCCTCACTTTGCTTCTTCCTCACTACTTCTCCCCCCATTACTCTCCTTCTTCTACCTACCTTTCTCTCTCTTTATTGCTCTTAGCTAACTTACACCACCTCCATTAATGCATCTCCTTTCTCTTTTTCCTCTCCCTCCACTAGATAGTCATCTCCTTCTCCGGCTAGCTTGGCAGATCTACCCATTTAATGAAGTGAGCTATGTACCTCCCTAACTAGATTAGCCATCTCAAGAAGTAAGCTTTGTCAACTTTTGATCATTCCCTAGGTGTGCGGTGACACCGATCGACATCATCATCACCGTGCTCGATAGGTCTCGAGATAGGTGATTAAAAATTTGTGCTTTGCAAGAATGGAAATATGTGTATGTGTGTGATATGACATAATCACGTGATATGATAGAAATTGTGTCTTTGGCTTGAGTTGCCGCCGAATTGTGCTTGAGTTGTCTATGTTTTGCCGAAATGTCGATTTATTTCTGTTTCGGTGAATCTCGGGCAAACTCTATATGTCCTATTTTTAGAGAAGGTCATCCCGATTTTTTGTTGACTTTGATGCATGCACGCATTTTATAATCAATTTGTTTATTATTAATGTGCAGGCGTTCATGATGGTTAGTGGAACGATGGTGGACAGGTGGTTGCGGTAGACGGTGCAGGCATGAAAGAAAATAACCTGACAGAGGTTTTATGTCTGTGTCGAAGATGCAAAGGAATAGTTTGGCTCGACCCCTATGATGATGGTCGTGTCGAAGTGCACCTGCTCATGACTGGTTTTATGGATGGCTATACTCGATGGATAATTGAAGATGAGGATGATGATGTTGAGGACGCCGACGGGGCAGGCAATGACGACACGGGGGGAAGACGAAGAGATGATCGACAATGACGGCGGGGAAGAGGCCGGACATGGCGGCAGGGAAGGGGCCGGACATGGCAGCGGAGAAGGGGCCGGACATGGCGGCGGAGAGAACGTGGACTCCACGCCGCAGAGTTCATCGGTACTAAGTTCAATCGTGCGGGACCCTCATGTTCAAGCACTACTTCGCAAGTAGACGAGTACTAAGAGAGCTGCTTCTAGAGAGGAGGCTAAGCTGCAGCAACTTGTGGTAGACTCGAACACTCCATTGTATGATGGTTGCAATCCTGATGTGACCCGCTTGAGTTTCACGCTCCAACTCCTGAAGACGGAGGCTAAAAACAAATGGACCGACACTAGCCTTGATGAGCATCTCAAGTACCTAAAGGATGTTCTTCCTGCGGGGAATCTATGTCCTACTAGTGTGGATGAGGCCAAGAAGATCGTGTGCCCTCTTGATTTGCCGCATGTTAGATACAATGCATGCATCAACGACATAATTTATCGGAAGGAGCACGCGGAAAAAACAGGCTGTTCGGTGTGCAATGCTTCTTGATACAAGAAGGCCGGGAAGAAATCTCCCCAGAAAGTTCTATGGTACTTACCGATCACTCCCCGTCTCTAGCGGTATTTCGTAGATCCCAAGGAGGCAAAGCTCATGCGCTGGCACGCGGAGAGAAAGAAGCCCGACGATGGAGATGATCCGAAGCTGAGACACGTCAAGGATGTAAGCCAGTGGAGAGGTTGAACGGCTTCTATCAGTATTACGTATGTGATGCAAGGAACATCGTGCTTGGCGCGTGTACCGATGGCATGAATCCATTTTGCAACCAGAAGACCAACCATAGCACATGGCCCATGTTTGTATGGATGTACAACCTCCCCCCTGGTTGTGCATGAAGTCGAAGTACATTCACATGAGCATACTGATTCAAGGGCCGAAACAACCGGGAAATAATATTAATCTATATTTGGGGATACTTCAAGAGGAGTTAGACACGTGATGGAAAACACCGGCCAAGACATGGGACGCCAGCAAAGGCGAGTATTTCTACATGAGAGCCGCACTGATCACGACGGTGCACGACTATCTCGATTACGGATATGTCACAGGCCAGGTGTGCCATGGATATAGCGGATGCACGCGGTGCATGGATGATACGATGTCTCAGCAGCTAACGTTAAGGAAAGAGGGCAGGTCTGGAAAATCATGTACATGGGGCATCGAAGATGGCTCAAGAAGGATGACCCATGGAGAAACCGTGGAGATCTATTAAATGGTCACGCTGAGCATCGAGGACCTCCACGTAAATGAAGCGGTGCCGAATTGATGAGTTGTTGAAAAACTGGGAACAGTGCCCCGCGCCGGCAAGACGATGAAAATGGCGCCGGAGCCGCTGCTGAAGGTATGGAAGACGAGGTCTGTGTTCTGGGACTTGGAGTACTGGCACAAACTCGACACACCTAATTGCCTTGATCAAATGCATATCTGTAAGAATGTCCTTGAGAGCTTGCTCACGACATTGATGAACATGCCGGATAAGACCAATGATGGGCCAAAGGCAAGAAAAGACTTGAAAGATTTGGAAATCAGGGAAGATCTGCACATGCCGCCCTGTAAAAATTCAGACGAGACAGAGACGGAGATAGAGGCGCGGGAGAAGAAGAGAAAAATGTAAAGGAAAATGATTATTGCCCCCCTTCTTGCTTCACCTAAAGTCGGGCTGAGATTGATCAATTCTTTAAGTGCCTTACCGGAGTCAAAGTTAGTTTCGGTTACTGTGGCAAGATAAGCAAATATTTAGACAGGAACAAGAAAAGGTTCAGCGGGATGAAGTCCCATGACTGTCATGTGATGACGCAAATACTATATGTTGCCCTTAGAAGGATAATCACTACAAGAAATATGTCAACTTGCGACCATCACTATTGGTCGCTGAAAGGTCATTGTTTTTCATTTGCGACCTTTTTGTGATCAAAATCAGATGGTCAAAAGCTGGCGGTCGTAAACTGAAATTAGCGACCTTCTTTGTGATATGT